TTGAACTAAACTCACAGAATGAGGTAAATTAAACCAACTTACTTATCCCAGGCAGCCAAACAGCTTTAAAGGCTAATATTGATTTAAACAATCCAGTCAGAGCTGGTATTGAAATGCCTTAGAATAATAATTAAGCGACTGACAACCCACAATAAGATAAATCTAACGTGGATATAATAAGGACATACTGCTATCTAAGAAAATAAAAAGACTAGTGAACTGGCTAAATAGTAAAATATCTACCTATTCGACAGGCAGTAATATGGAAGTAAAACACTAAGGACATTTTCATAATTTATAATTTTATAAAATTACACGCTAAACAAAAAAAAAAAACAAAAAAGGTCCAAATCATAGACGTCTGCTTGGTAGTTAACGTGCACGGGGACAGCTTGTATCGGATTGTGGAAACATTTAATTCTGAACGCTTTTCCAAATGAAATGTTTATTTTGTAGGCTCTAACGAAATGCAATGATATAGTACAAGCAAAGCTGGAATCTTGGTCGGAATTTGCTAGTTGGACGCATTTAGAAAATAACAGTCCTTACTGGTAACCGATGATATATCAAAAATTCTATGAAAAATAAAAATGTGGCAGCAGTTGCAAGGATGTAAAATAGTTAGTATTTTTCGTTGTTTTGTGCCTTTCTGCTTATTTTTATTGTACCTTATTCTAGAAATTAAGCTGGGATTTCCTATAAAGTTGGCGAAAAATAGTCGCGAGATAGATGTTGAAAACAAACGTTAAAAAGTAAATAGAGGACTGTTAATTCAGCTACTGATCCTGATTAGTTTTCGCTAAATATTTTAGGAAACTTCAGCTTAATTTGCTGCCTTTTCAACCTTCTATATCAACCATCAATACTGCTACAACAGCAATAGCAGTTGTCAGAAACTAAGATTCCTCTTCAGACATCAAAAATTATTTTCTTGTCTACTTTTGTAACTCTCAAGTTACACTAAAAAATTATTATTTATTGTATCAGGATTTAGGCTATGTATGTATTTTGTAGTAAAGGAAAAAAGATTAAATTAAAATAAATTGGTTTATAAAATATTAAATTGTAAACGTAAACACAAAATATTGAATTATTATCAGAATAAAGCACAAAAAAAAATAATTTTAAAAGCTCTTGAAGCTGTACCTTAATAAACAAGAGATTTTATCGAAACCAACCTGTAGAAAAAATCACAAAATAATATATAAGTTGGTAATAGAAAGGCGATAATCATTGTCTCAGGTAGATGTTAATTATATGGATATGTCAGATTTCTCACAGTAAAACAACTGATAAAGTCTACCACAGAACTAACATTTGCTCCCAACCAACCATGCTCCAGTTAAAAGTCTTGACAAAATATTCTAGAAACACAAAATGACCTCGAGAACTTTGCCGAATCTGATCTAAAACCTTGAACCAGTCATAAGGCTTGTAGAATGAGTGTTATCAATAGGGAATTATAGTAGGTACCATAAAACTTTGAGACCAGTGATACTGCTGCTTTAAGTTCTGATGCATACAGAATACTATGACTAAGGGTTATTCTATTTCAGATAATCAAGTAAAGAGCATTTGTGAATGTAAATATTTAGTTGAGCGTTCAGTTTTGCCAGAAAATGATTCAATATGAATTGAAGTGCTTCGACAAATGTTTTGATAGGATATTGGTTCTAGAAATGTTACAAGAAGCTTCTCTGTATCTGAAACGTGTGGAGAGTGGGTTACAACCACGGCACTTAGACCTCATTAGGCCTATTTTGCATCCTCCTAAGATGATAGGGACCTCCTAGCTCGTGAGCTAGCCTACAGATTTAATGTAGTTGACAACGTCGCCAAGAGGTGCTTCTCTTATATCGGCCGGTGTTAGTCGATACTCGCCGAACACAAATCTTCTAATAATTGAGAGCGTCGTAAAGGATATGCTCGTTGGTCTCATCTTCTTCTTCTCTGCAGAGTGCGGATTCTGACAGTCCCATGATATGGAGATGCTTCCGTACTTGGCAATGACTAGTCAGAATGCCTGTGACTAGGCGCAGATTATGTCTAGTCATAGTCAAGTATTTGTTAACGGCAGAATTGCTAGGGAGAACTCTGCAGTTTCTTGTTTTATCCTATCTTTCCTTGAATTTTACAAGGGAATGTTCATTAATTAGGTCTGTCACTACCGATTTTGTCAGGCCAATAGAAAAGCCAGGTCCAAAAAGTATTTGGTTGGCTGCTTTTTTGGCTAGTGAATCAGCAAGACGGTTTCCTTTCGATGTGGCGTGACCTTTGATCCATCTTAATTGTTGATGGATACTTCGGCCAAAGCTTCGTGACATTCTAGTACTAACCCTGAGTAAATTCGTGGTCTGTTCAGAGTGAGTAGTGCTAGTCTGCTGTCTGTATATTGAAGAATGGATGACCAATAACAATCTTACTTTGGCCCCAAAGAAAACAGAAGCGGTCGTAGTCAGGGGAAAAAGAAATAGGACAGGAATAGGATTTCAACTAGGAGGCAGAACAATCACCCCAAGGAAGTCAAATATTTGGGAGTGTGGCTAGATGAACGACTGATTTTTGGAACACAGGTCAAAAATGCTGCAATTAGAGCCGAAAAACAGATAGCAGCCCTATCTAAAATAATGCCTAACGTGGATGGACCCAGTGGACTAAAGAGGGCGTTGTTAAATGGCGTCATGCAATCTGCAGTGCTGTACGCAGCACCGATTTGGAAAAGAGCAATGTACGTAGAAAAGTACAGGGGCCTACTTCTTAAAGTGCTACTCAGGGTAGCGTCGGCTTACCGCACCGTATCTGCAGAGGCTCTACAGGTCATCACAGGATGCATCCCTATTGATATTCTGGTGAATGAAAGGGGAAGACTACACAACAGAGAACCGACAAGTGTGATAAGGAACACAGAAAGAACAGAAAGCACAAGAATGTGGCAGGACAGATGAGAAGCAAATAACCTGAAGGCATCCTGGACAAAAAGATTTCTAATATTGAACGGTGGCTAAAATGTTCATACAGAAACACGAACTACTGTATTTCGCAATTTCTGTCGGGACACGGTTCTTTCGGCGAATACACTTTCAGGTATAACTCTCAAATAATAATCGGTGCAGATACTATCAAGAAGTAGACTCGGTGGAACACATATTTTTTTCAGTGCATCAGATGGCAGCAGGAAAGAAGGGCACTTGTATCCACTCTAGAACCTCCGTTAACTCCGGATAATATTATAGAAAAGCTCATAGAGAGTAAGGAGAAATGGCAGTCTGGTTCTAAAAATAATAGCGAGGTTAATGGCCGAGAAAGAGAACGAAGAATGGGAGTACAAAGCAAGACAGAACTAAAAATAGAAGACCGCAGCAGGTACATGAAGTAATATCCTCTGGAGGACAGTTCCGGTACTTGTGGAGCGTGAGGTGGTTTTAGAGGGGTATACTGGACTTGCACACTTGAGCCAGGAGTCCACCACACTACCAGGGAAAGGAGGAACCTATACCTGGTGTCCGTAAAGGATTTCCACCCGACAAAAAAAAAGTCTGCTGTCTGTATAGATGAGCATATTCCTTCCAGTGATATTGTTTCTGGTTATTTCTTTTGCTGCTATGAAAAACCCCGTTAGCTCTGTTTGAACTGCATTGGCACTATTGCTCACAGCACATTTTATGTTTAGGCTTAAGAATCTGAAGTATATTCCACATCCTGAGCCTTGTTTGGTGTATATATGAATCGTACCTGCCACTTCTATTTTATGTGGCTCATGGAAGATATATCTCGGTGAGCTGGAGTCCATGTTCGCTTGAAGCAGTGGGAGCGTATCGAGCGCCTCCTGCCAAAAGCGACGTCTTGCCTCACCAGATCCTACATCATCCTACATGCTGTTCTTTGGATTTGTTCTAGTTAACGGATAGCTAATAATTTTTGGGTTTTCGGTACTCACGAAACTGCATCGTATGTTAGCATAGGTTTTATGATAGTCCATGCGACGATTCTGGGGGAGAAACCCCAGGTGCGCCCCACGGTTCGGCGGCATTGTTCATAAGCAATGTATACTCTTTTAACTCTGTTTTCTTAGTGCGAGTTCCATCTTAACTTGCTATCAAAGTTACTTCACATCTGTTGCAAAGTTTAGTTTTGTGTTTAGGAATTCTGGAGATTTTAATTTCATTTTCATCCTTTTCCTTGGGAAAAGAACCATTTATGTCTTCTTAGGATTAATCTACAGTGAATGGTCCTTGCACCACTGTTCTATAATTTTTAGAGCTACTTGCATTCTTTCGCAGATTATGTTTTCAAAATTCCCCGTTTGCAGAACAAGAAACTTGGAAAAGATATTATTGATAAATTCAAGTGAAAAGATCATTGAAGATCTATATTATAAAAACTGAGCCATAATGGATACTTGCACAGCTGCGACTCTGATTTAAGTTTTATTTATACCAGTTGTAGATGAAGAGAAGTGATAAAAGTTTATACTAGATCATGTCTTGAGATACTGTGACACTAGTTATCCTAAAGTTTTCATTGGACCCAACCGGATTCATCTGTTGGTGTGCTTGGGTTTAAGATTAGATAAGGATTCTTATTAAATGAACCGCTTTATCATCTAATATGGTTTGATGGTTGATAGTAAAAGTCAATTTCAAAAAATAATACATAGTCCGAATCTGATATTAACTAGTGGAAACTTTTCTGTTCAAAAACTAATAACAGTAATAACTATTTTGTCTCCTACAAACATTAAATTCTGATATATTCTTAAACGAACTTATCGTCTTTAAAAAATTGAAATAATTCTAAATTTTACTGGTTCTTTTTGTAAAGGTTCTTATTTATATTTTTACTGATTTTGAGACTTTGGAGATATTATTCTGATATTTTTGTACGATACTGTTCGACGCTTATTTCTTTTTGAGTAAAACTAGCTTGTTAAATGTACTTTTGCTTATAATGCTCATTTTTTAGAATACCATTATCTAAAAAATATATTTGTTTTGTTGCAGTGTGCTATTATAGACTCCGTGAATTCGATGTTGCCAAACCAAAACCAACTTCAAGGATTGATGGTTTTAATGAAGAAATTATCAAGTGGCCGTTAAGTTGGTGTAATATGAAGCTGTCTGTATAAGTTACAAAAAAAAAACGGGTCAATATTGAAATATGGCCCGGGACTGAAATCTGTGATATAACGATATGACCGTAATTTATTTGAGAAATGTGTTGAGTCAGTGGATTATTGTTCGCCAAGAGGAGAAAAGTATGTTCTGTGTTTTTTGCTTTACATAAATTAGTACCTACTCAAAAGACTGATATTATAATTGATAAGTGTAAATGTCATATTTTAATAGTTTGAGAATGTTTTTTGTTAAGTGTATATTTTATAGTTTAACCTATATTATGATAAAAAATTATTTTGAAAGATCTTTTTAAAAGTAAGTTACTCGTTAAGAAAATTAAAAATTTTCTATATTTATTAAAATTATCTCTAATCGGTTATTTTTTTAGAGATTTTTTGAAAATGTCGCATATGATTAATTACTTAAAACATTGCATTGGCATTAATAATTTTTTTTCAAATCTTGTTAAAAGGATAAAATTAATAAAGAAATGTACTGTACTTCTAAGAAAGATATAAAATTATAAATGACATTTAAATTGTGCGCCTCCTGCTTTTATTAAAAACAAATTATTAAGAATACCAGATGATCACCTTCAGGGGTGCTGAAAAAACATTTTATAAAAGAAGTATTATAATTTTAATTAAAATATCAAGCATTGAAAATCATTACATTAATTTGAATAGAGGATATTTGGAGGATCTTCATAATTGCAATGTAAAAATATATAAAATCAATTTGTAGAAAATAAATTTATTTTTGTATATATTTTTTTATTATTTCCGAACTCTTAGAAAATGAGCATTTTTGACCCATGAATTAACCTTCCAGAGTGACTGCTTTTTTTTATTGAGTGTATTCAAATGGAAGTAACGTTATTTGTAGTAAGTGTTGATGAGAGAAAGTGATAGATGGTCAAAAATTGGTTGCGTGAACCAGTGTAAAAATGAAGACTGATTTTTTTATTCTAGACAGAAATTTCAGATTTTTTCTATATTTACAATTTCATAGAGTTCGAATGTCAGCCTTTAAAAAAATCTTTCTAAAAAAGGTCCCAAATTACTTTTTTTAGATTTACTTTAATGCAATTATTAATTAAATATTTAAAAAAGATCCCTACAACTTCCATAAAGCCTTAATTTTATACTAATATTAATTTCACACTTTTAATTTTGTAATTTGTTTACTTGGTAGTTGGTATGTGTTATTAATATTGAAAATATTTAAAACTTCTCGTAAATAATATCTTTAGCTCTCCTGACGATGGTCGTTTAATATACAACGTGACCCACTTAAAATTGGAACACTTCTGTAAAATACGTATTAAAAAGAATATTATAAAGACTACCTCGACCCAAATTTCCATACATCAACATTAATTTTCAAGGCATATTATGATTTTTTTCATGTCAAAACAACTGTAGTTTATTAGGGATTTTTTTCACTGAATTTACAAACCTTCCGAATGAAAAAATCCAAAATATCGTTAAAATATATTTATTAACAACAAAGTTAAACGCAATTTTGAGAATATATTTTTTACGTAGATTTAGGACAATTTATGAAAACTGACAACATTGTCGATAAAAAGTAAAACACTGTCTAAGTTTTCTGGCGAAAATCCGAAGTCCATAACTCTCTCTAGTTATAACTCTTTAAAATATGAAAGAAGGATGTTTTTAATTGTATTTGAAATTAAGGATTATTATTCATAAAAACGTTTAATTGATGAAAATTCTCACATTGTTATATCGTAACTTTCCTTTTATTTTCATATATGAAGACACAAGTGGATGAAGGGCTTATGTACCTAAAATTCATTTAAAATGTTTTCCGTGACAATATATCATCAAATATAGAAGTTTTCCAGTGAATAAAGGACCCATGTACTAGGGAATAACTGCCAAACAATAAACTTTAACGCGAAATATCTCGTAAAAATTATTTTGCTACATAGGCCCATCATCCACTTGTGTCTTCATATGGGGCACTTAACTGCTTATGTCCAACGTAGAAACGTTTAATATTTTGATGAAAAAATGTAGACGCTAAGGTACCTTGTTACGTTTTTTTTAACGTTACTGGAAGCTCCTAAAAATTATGCCTTCATAACAAACCAGATGTGACATTCTTGTTGTGTTATATCCAAGAAATCCTTTTTTGTAGATGTTATTTTAAGGTCTATTAAATAAAATCGTCTCAATGAACCAAATGGTGATGTTCCAAATATGATACAGAGTCCTACCTATTGTATCTATTGTCCTGCCATCCTGCCTATCTCTTAAATATTATATGGATGTATATACAGTATGTCCCCCTAAGTTTGAATCATATGGAAAACTTTTTTATTAATAATTTTAGGGAAAAAAGTTATTTTTCATAAAAAGTTCTGCATTATCTAAAACCTAGAATACAGTCATCGAATAGCAAATTTTTTCAGTGGTATACGAGGTTTGTCAAAAAATATGAGTTTTACTCAAGAGTAAAGTACGTTTATTTTTTACAAAATCGAAAATTTTCATTAAGAAAAGTTTATTAGAAAATTACATTCAAATATGCAATTATACCGATCTATCTGAAAAATCAGATTTTTTCTAGATTTTTCATTGATCCACCTAATTACGGTAATCCATAATTTTTTCTCTCTCTTCTCTACTATAAACATGATACGCTTTCCTTTTCTTGATGTTTGTGAAGAATTTAGCAATTTTCATAATGAAAATTTTTGATTTTGTCAAAAATAAACGACTCGAGCGAAATTCATATTTTTTGACAAACCTCGTATACGGCTTGAAAAATTTGATATCTGATGACTATATTCTAGGTTTTAGATAATGCAGAACTTTTTATGAAGAATAACTTTTTTTCCTAAAATTACTAATAAAAAAGTTTCCCATATGATTCCAACTTAGGGGGACATACTGTATAATACAACAAAAAAACAGTCTTCTACATAAAAAGTAAGACAATAGAATAGCCTAAATAAATTAATATTACTCTAAAAGTAAGAAATTTAAATACATACTGAGTACCAAGCGTTGTGTAAGTAGCAAGCGATTATCGGTGTCTCCATCTATGAACAGAAGACGGAGCCCTACTGTACTATTAGGCCTGCAATGGGAAGACTCAAGATAGTCGTCTTAAACATGTGTAACTTGTACACATTACAATGCTGACCAATATGCGACATTATTGGGAGTTATATAAATTAACATCTTATAGATGTTTGTCACAAGAAGTAACTAAAAAGAAGTACATAAGATGTTTATATAAGTACTACCTACTGTTGCGTACATGGAATTTCAGATATATGCGATGGATGTTAATGAATTTAAACATCTATGGGATATTGAAGTACCGTTTTAAAACAATATCAAGAAAAGTCTCTATGAAAAACGTTACCAAAAGACTTGTAATGTTTCATGTTTAGTGGGGAACTGGGAAACCTAACAATTCCTTTTTTTAAAGAAATTAAATATTAATAAGAAGTTATAACTCGAGAATAAAAATGATGTATTTCGGAATTTCACCGGATTTTCACCAGAAAAATGAGATGGTGTTCTACTTTTATTGGCGCTTTTACCAATTTTCGGAATTTGTCTAAAACCTACATAAACCATAGTATATACCCAAATAGTGAGGGTTTCCAAAATTAATGTTTTTAATAAATTATTTAAAAAGAGATTTTAGTCGTTTAGTAGTATAATCAAACTTTAAAAAATCCCTGAGTAGGTATACTGTGAAAATTATTGCCAATGCACTAGTGATGATGTATTTATGGTTCCACTGACAATTAAAGTGACAGTAGATTTTTTGAGTGCGTTTTGTTCGTTTTGTTTACCTAAATTATAGCGTTTCTTCACTTTTATAAATATATTCCTAAAGTAGATAACATGCATCAAATATTCAATCGTTTAGTTACCAATTACATACCTTTAAACTATTTTTTATGACCTGTAAACAATATTTAGAAATAAACTAAAAACAGTAAAAACGTTTACGTCAAATTTATTGATGTTTATGTTAAAAGTTTGGTTAGAATTAAATGTCAGTGGAACCAAAATGACATCACACTGAACCAGCGCATTTGTGTCAGAATTTACTTTTTTTTAACTACACAAAATAATTTAGAAAAATATGCATTTTACAGAGGTGATCTCATCCTAAGTGAGTCACAGTGTATACGGGGATATAATAATTATATTTTTTAACCGACTTCAAAAAAGGAGGAGGTTATCAATTCGTCGCGATATTTTTTGTTATGTATGTTCAGCGATTATTCTTTAACACGCTGTCCGATTTTAATGATTCTTTTTTTGTTAGAAAGGGAGTACTTCAGGGGTAGTCCCATATAAATTTAGTCAAAATCTAATAATTCGGTTCATGAGAAAATCCTCAAACTCTTCATTTTTTTATGTGTGTTTAGCAATAATGCTTTACCACCTTGTCCGATTTATATGATTCTTTTTTTGTTAGGGGGTACCTTAAGGGTGGTCCCACATAAATTTGGTTAAGATGTGGTGAAGGCATCGGCACGTTTTTGAAGTCGGTTTTTTTAAATTTTTAATTTCTAATACTTGTTGAAGTAAAACGAGACACTAATAATTTTTGTTTACTTTTAAAGTGACATCTGCCTACTGTATTTACTTTTACACGTTGGCAGACTATATGAAGTTTGTTTTTCCTATATCATGGTTTGAATAAGCGTTTCCTTAGTTAGCATTATCCAGCTATTTAGAAAGGTCATTTTTTAACATCTTGCAGCATCTCTACAAGAAATACCGCATGATGATGATTTTATCCTTTAGAAGGTCCTTGATATTTCTTATTTTACTAGTTGGTCTGCTTTTCTATAGATACACTTTGTTTGTTTTTTAAGTCATAAGTCGAAAGAAATTTTTTATGTAGTATATAAGCAATCTAAATTTGTAAATAAGGAAAATTATATTTTCCATGAAAATATGTACAAAAGTTTGTTTTAAACGAATATTTATAAATATACCTGCATATATACTTTATAAATTATTTCTGAAAATTAATTTCTAATAAAAAACGAAAACGATAATAAAAATAATGTCACATTTATCATATAATTTAAAAAGTAATAAATGATAATGAGGATCATTTCTATTATTGGTATTTGATTAATACAGTTACTTTAAAATACAGTAAACATAAATAAAAATGTATATTCTTTCAGCTAAATTTAGAACGATTAAAATTCTTACATTTTGATA